TTGATCACTACCCGCTGGGCCTGGCCTTCTAGCCATCTTTCTATCCATCTTACCGTCCATTTATCCAATCCACAATTCCTTAACTTGCTGGCAAGAATATTGTGGGAGACCGTATCAAAAGCCTTGCTAAAGTCAAGGTATATAACATCCACTGACTTCCCCATGTCCACCGAGCCAGTTACCTCATCATAGAAGCTAATCAGATTGGTCAGGCACGACTTGCCCTTTGTGAATCCATGCTGACTATTCCTAATCACTTTCCTCTCATCCAAGTGCCTCAAAATGGATTCCTTAAGGATCCCTTCCACGATTTTTCCAGGAACCGAGGTAAGACTGACCGGCCTATAGTTCCCTGGATCGTCCTTCTTCCCTTTTTTATAATGACAGCAGTTTGGTCACCTGTTGAGTAGAAGATGTTTATTTTATGGCCTGATAAGAATATTTCTTACAACTTTACATTCAAACCTGAAACGCCTTCCCCAAATTGTTTTTCAGGGGCAAAAGAATGGCGACTCAATATTTACAGAAAAAAGTATGCTAGAAAGTACAGTTGAGTTATTTTTTGCTGGGACAGTGAGCGTCAGCCACACCCTATGCTTTGGACTCCTGGTTCTTCTGAAATTCCCAGAAATAGAAGGTAACAATACACACGTGCTCTCAGTCGCAACTTTTAAAGTGATAATTAGAAAATATTATAATAGGAAAACCATGATAGCCAATCTATCAGTGCAAAGACACTAGAAGGTGTCTTTCCAGTAGATACACAGATGTTACCACCATTTTTCAATGCCAGGTGTGTTTCTTTTCCTGGTAAGTTAATCAGCCATTGGAAATAAATTCTTGACCATTGTTATTTCTTTATACAGTGCCTTCGATATTTCTATATAACAAGAGAAAACACACTTCAATTCAAGATACTAAGGATGTAAAGTTTCAAAACACTAAACAAATTTAACAACACAATTTGCATTTACAGATGACTGATCTCAAAGCCTTTTTTTGCCCCTTGGAACTGTTTTGTTTTATAGTACAATGGCCCTGTTTACAACAATAAGATCTATATTGACAATGTAACATAACACTATACATCTTAAATTGCCCTCCAAACACGGTCTTTTTCAAGGGCATTCTCAAATACGAAAGAAGTGAGCAAAGAGTCCTGTTCTGAGAGTAGCAATCTGGCCAAATCACGTCACTCTGGGAATTGGGGAAAAAAGTCTCATGTGTCAATAGATTTATTTAGGAAAGAACACATTATAATTTTGGGGTTGAGAAGCAGTAAAATAACAACCTCAGCTTTCCATTGGGAGCAACCGGAATGTCAAAGGGAATCACTGAAAAGAAAGCTGCTGAGCTTTGCTGCGGAGATGTGAGATATGCCTGGAGAAAGAAATGGATACACAGTGTGTCCCCTTCAGTCACCAGTGAGCCATGTTGCTATCACAAGGTGGTAGTTCATTGGTTAAGGGAAGT